GATTTGTAAATATTTTCTCCCATTACATAGGTTGCCTCTTCACATTATTGATGGTGTCCTTTGCTTGCAGAAGCTTTTTAGTTTAATGTAGTCCCACTTACTTATTTTTGCCTTTGTTGTCTCTGCTTTTGGTATCAAATCCAAAACATTATCACCAAGACCAACATCAAGCAGCTTACCCCTATTTCTTCTAGGAGTTTTATGATTGTAGGTCTTAACACTCAAGTCTTTAATCCGTTTTGAGCTGATTTTTGTGGATGGTGTAAAATAAGGATCTGGTTTCATTCTTTTGGGTGTGGTTGTCCAGTTTCCCAATATTTTTTGAACAGGTTGTCCTTTCTCCACTGTACATTCTTGGCTCTGTGCCATAAGTCAGTTGACTATATACATGGGTTTATTCGTGGCCTCTCTACTCTGTTCTTTTTAGTTTATCTGTAAAAGTACTATATTTTTGAGTAATTTTACAGTAAAAGTCTAGAATATTTTCCATCGGAATCGACTAATAGTTTGATTTTGTGATTTTTTTCCATTCCTTGCTAAGTTTGCAATGGTCAGATACTGTGATTATGAGGAATTTTATTTACATAATGAAAAAGATTGTGTTTTAGAAGACGTGTGTTTTAGAAAATTATTTTGAAGGTTTAAGAAAAAGATCTAAATGTCATCCTTTAAAAATCTTTGCACTTTACAGTTTCTGTTTCTGTTTTCCCATCTTTATACTGTTTATACTCATTATAAATTCCAGTAATACAGTTAGACAGTGGCACCAGTGGTCCACTTGGGTTAACAACTTACTTAGGAATTACCAAGTCATTTTTCCCTCTACCAAGAGAAATATAAGCATTACTATTTCAAGAGTAGAGGCCACTTCTAGCATATTGCTATATGGTCCTTGGTGTTGGGAGTGCTTGGTATTTCCAATGCAGAGGGCCAGCCCACTTAGTAACAGAAAACTCCAGTTCTGGGACACTTTCCTTTCTCTTGAAATTAGTGAAATTAGCACACCCTAGGTTCTTCTTGAGGGCTGGTAAAGGGGAAAGTACTTTTGAACCACCCAGGATTAAACAATTCTCTCTCTCTCTCTCCACCTCCCCTCTCCTCTCTCACTCCCTGCTCTCCTTTCACTCACACACTGGCTCACACACTGCCTCCCTGCTCTGGCTTGTCTAGGTTCCAAACTTGCATCCTAAGGCGGAGGTAGGAGTAGCCTGAAGTGTCGGCTTTGAACTACTCCAAGCATCTCTCGGCTAAAAGGAAGAAGTGATTGAGAAATCCCTCCCCAGACTGGTGCTTCCCCGCCCCCAGCACCCCCGCCCCCACGCTCGCGCCCGCGACTGTCCCCTAGCACTCCGCCCTCACTCCCCTCTCCCCCATATCTCTAAACCCAGTCTGGGCACCAAAGTCCCCGCCCCCCCCCTCACTGCCAAGAGCCGTTCTTAACCTTTTTTGGGCCGGGGACCTACAAAATGCTCTGGACTCTCTCCGGATGGGGACAGAGAGGTTGGGGGAAGAAAACAGCTTGACAGCTTTGTAAAACTTTCAAAAAACTGATCTGAAATGCACCCCGAACTTCCAGATTAAGAAACCCATCTCGAAAACTCTTGATTTAGGACAATCAGATCGAAAGTGGAACTCAGATGCCACATCTCGTTCCCACTGGGAAACTGTAGGAAGGAGAAGACGGTCCGGCACTGGGTCACTTTCACTTGTAAGAAACCAAATGAAGGGGAGAGACAGGACAGAAATTCATAAAGGGGGAAAGAGAAGAGGGAGAGAGCTGTTATAAAGACAAGACGACAGAGGGGAGGAAAGATTAAAGGGAAAAGAGAAATAGGGGAAACAGGGACACAATGGGAGGGGAGGCGACAGCACAGTGGAAGAACCGGCACAGGGCGCGGCGCACAGAGGCGAATGCGAGGAAGCGAGAAAGAGCAGAGGGAGGAGAGAGGAGAGGGATCGAGAGGCAGAAACTGGGAGCGCTGGGAAAGGGAGAGAACTTTCTCTGCACTCCCTCCCCAGCGCAGGGAGTCTCAGAAAAGCCGATCTGCACGAGGTGGCGGGGAGCGCGAGCGGCTGGCCCCCGAGCTCCGGGCGCCTCTGACCTCCGCTTCCTGGAGCCCGCAGCCGGCTGCGAGACTCGCACGGGCAGCCGAGGAGGGGACTCCGTCTCGAAGGAGGCGGTCCCCACTCGCTTCGCTTTCTCCTCCCCTCTCCTCCCAGAGGCGGGCACCCGGGGTATTTGAGCAGCGGAGGACCCGCGGCCCCCCCGCCTCCGCCCCCCCAGCCCCCCATTCAAGAAGCCGCTCCGCTATCCCTGGCAGCACAGGGCGCCCGGCGCGCCTCGGAGCGCACGTTCCGCGCCTTCTCCTGCCGGCTCCCTGGACATTATGCGGCCGAGCAGCCGAGCCCCAGTCCTCCTCCTCCTCCTCCGGCTCCTCCTGCGGCCCGAGCGGCTCAGCTCTCGGCAGGCGGCGGCGTTGCTCAGCCGAGCGCAGACGGGACCCTCGCGGCGAGACCTCAGCGACTCCTAAAGTCAAAAGTTGGCGGCGGGCGCCAGGCTCCGCGCGCTCACCGCGGCCGCTGCCTCGCGTCGCCGCCGCAGCCAAGCCGGGCAGGAGGGAGGGGGTGGGAGCCACGGGGGAGGGGTGGGGAGCACCATGCAGTTTGTATCCTGGGCCACACTGCTAACGTTCCTGGTGCGGGACCTGGCCGAGATGGGGAGCCCAGACGCCGCGGCCGCCGTGCGCAAGGACAGGCTGCACCCGAGGCAAGGTAATGAGGCTCCGGCCACCGCGACCCCTCCGCCCCAATCGCCACCTCCCCAGCCTCTGCGTCCGACAGCAGGCACCCCGCAGTGGAGGCCTCTCCTTTTCCTAGAAAGAATTATCTACGGCTTTACAACCTCTCCCTTTTTTAGGTCATTTCCAGCCAATTTCTAGAGAGAGCCGCTGTAGAACAAACTTAGTCTCCTCCAGCGCTCTTCGCTTGTAGTTTGATCTTTCCCCTTTCCCACCTCCGTGCCGCAAACTATAGTTACTTAGTAACTGGGGGTAGCAGATAGTGGCATGTTTTATTTGATTCAGGGTATTTGTCAGAATCTGAAATTATCTTACGTATTTTTGACTTTGTTCATTGCTTCCGAATGGTGTATCCTCAGAGTCCAGCCTAGTTCTTGACCGTTCCTGGCACATAGTAGGTGCTCAGTAAATATATGTGCACTGGCTGAGGGTGAAGGCATTGACTCAAATGGGCAAAATAACTGTTGGAAAATAACCCAGAACAAAGCCCTCTTCATTTTAAATTAAAACTTGGGGAGAATTGGTTTGCAGAAAATGGAATTATTGGTTCATGTGTCTCTGCTTTTCCCTGCAGTGAAATTATTAGAGACCCTGAGAGAATACGAAATCGCGTCTCCCATCCGAGTGAACGCTCTCGGAGAACCCTTTTCCACGAACGTGCACTTCAAAAGAAGGCGACGGAGCATTAATGTTGCCTCCGACCCCTGGCCTGCCTTCGCTTCCTCCTCTACCTCTTCCCAGGAGCATTACCGCCTCTCTGCCTTCGGCCAGCAATTTCTGTTTAATCTCACTGCCCATGCTGGATTTATCGCTCCAACGTTCACTGTCACCCTCTTTGGGACGCCCGGGGAGAATGAGACAAAGTTTTATTCCGAGGAGGAAACGGAGCTCAAGCATTGCTTTTACAAAGGCCATGTCAATACCAAGTCCGAGCACACGGCGGTCATCAACCTCTGCTCAGGAATGGTGAGTTGGTGCGCGCCACCCCCCTCCCCTCCCCTCCCTCCTCTTCACCTCTTCGCCTTTCTGGAAGGCGTAATTAATTGCTCTCTAGCCTAAGACCCTCACTGTGCGGAGTTTCTACTTTGGCTTTAAATATCCGCTAGCAGCTCGTCTGCATCCTGAGGTTTGGGTGACAAGCCCAGTTCGTGTGCTTACACTGGGGAGAGGCACACGCAGCCGCCCCCAGGGGGTTCGGAATGTTTTGGAGCTTTCTAGAGTCCGAATTCAGGCTCGCCAGCGCTTTCCCCAACGCTAGTAGGCGGCTTGGAAGTCGGTTTCCAAATTCCGAGAGTTGTCCTTTCTTGCAGCAAACCCTGCTGCCCAGGAGCGGAGCAGCTGAGCGTAGGGAGGACCCAACTCCTTATTGGAGCGTCTTGAGTCAGGGGTGTGGGCTGAGGATCCCCAGCCTCGGGTATGGGGAGTTCCTTCTCCGTGTCGTGGAGGGCGGTGCGTAATCTAGCGTCCCGGCGATTTCTCTGGGCCTTTTTTCACGCGCCAGGAACCCTGAGGCCGAACAGGATTGACAGGGAACAGGTCCGTCCCAGGAACGGAAGGGTGGGCCGAGGGCTCCGGGGGCGGGGAAGAGGGCGGAGCCTGCCTCCGACGCTTCGAATTTGGATAGAAATTGGGAGTGGGGGTGTGGCGCAGTCCGACTCTGCACCCTGCTGGCGGGGTGGCCCCAAAAAACAGAAATAGTGGGGGAGAGCCTGGAGAAGCTGCCCGTATGAGATTTCGGTACTTCTGGGTTTTCTGCCAGCATATGGGGTTCCAGAGAATCGAAAGACAGAGCTTACAACGCATGTTTCCCTGGAGAGGGAGGGCTAGTAGGCGCAGGCTGGCCACCTCCCTGCACTGCAAAATACGCACGTAGCAGGTTTTCCGAGCGGATACCTCGACCCTCTCCTGACCTTCCCCTCCCCATTTGCTCTCCAGTTGGCCGCACATGGCAACAGCTTTTTATCCGCAACCCCCCCCAAACTTTTGAAGACCTGTTGTAAAGTTCTGGCCAGAGGGAAAGCGGTCCTTGACTTTCCCAAACGATGTGCGTTGCTACCACGCGCGTGTGACGCAGAAACTTTCCCGGGTCAGGTTCTCCCAGCGCAACACGCTCTGCGCACTGCGCCCCAGTGATGCGTTTACTCTTCCCCTGAGGACCCACATTCCCTGTCACCTTCTCTAAGAGGGAGCACGGATACTTACCTGGGGCACTCGGTTGCCCCTTCTGTGCGCTGTTGGTGGATTCAGCGTCCCGGTCTAGATGTCGCATCCATCTCCACCGTCCTATGGAAGGGTGGGAAGAGTCTGGTGGGGAGCCAGGCAACCTTGAAGACTGGGAGGGGGAAGGTTTTAGCCTGCTGGGATACAGGCATGGGGATGGGCCCTTCCAGCCCCCAGCAAAGCGCCGGGAGCTGCGGCTCGCCGTTGAGCTTGTTTGGGGTGGGCGGAGACGGCAGTTTGACGCACGGGGGCGGGGGGGGAGGGTAAGGGGGTGCTGTAGTGAGTCATCGCTGCCCCAAGACCTAGGGCCAAAGCGCAGGAATCTTTCCATTTTTCAAAAGGTTATGGCCCGGTGGGCTTAGGTCAGGCATTGGAACCCAGGTCACCAGAGCGCCCCTAGAAACTAAAATTGTAAACCCCAATTCCAGAACTTTATGGATGGGGCAGGGATTGTACGTAAAGTTTGTAAACAACCTTTACTCCTCCTCTCTCCCCGCCTCCACAGCCCGCTGAATGGCCCTGGCAGTTGTATAAATACTTTGCTGGCAGGACCTTGATTTCATCTGGCAATTTTAGGTGGTAACTCGCCCGTGGGTATGCAAGTGGTAACTCTCTTGGGGCGCTGAGGGCCCGGGACCTAAGAATGATTGTATAGGGGTGCCTGGGTGGCTCAGTTGGTTAAAGCCTCTGCCTTCGGCTCAGGTCATGCTCCCAGGGTCCGGGGACCAGGCCCCCCCCCCCCCCCCCCGCATCGGGCTCTTTGCTCAGCGGGGAGCCTGCTTCCTCCTCTCTGCCTGCCTCTCTGCCTGCTTGTGATCTCTGTCTGTCAAATTAAAATATATATATATATATATATATATATATATATATAAAAGAATGATTGTATAGACCGTGAAAACCCCCTTCATATTGCATTAAATTTCTAATCTGCCTTTTCTGGTAGAGAAAGGTCCAGAATATATCTTAAAGATAAGTGCACTGTGTGTTTCTGTCTTCAGCGATTAATCGAGCTCCAGTCTCATCTAGGTCGTCCCTTTGTCTTCCTTCTGGAATTTGTCTTTCTTCCCAGGACTTCCCACTACCATTTCTCTACCAGTAATATCATGAAGTTTCTAGTAGCCCACCCAGGAAATCTCTCACTCTTTAGAGTGAATCTAAAAGTGCCAATCTATACAACACACACACACACACACACACACACACACACACACACACACAGACATGCACACACCGCACCAGTTATCATTTTCTCTGAATTCGATCTTAGATGTGTATCTCACTGGGTCTGAACAAGCCCTGCCCAAATTCTAGACCTTTTTACTTCTCTGCTCCTCTCTCATTTAGCGTTGTTTTCTAAGAAATATTTCCATCTGGCTTCTCCTCCTTCACGCTTTCCTCTCTGATCCCTGCCACACACCGCTAACAGATTAAGGATGGCTTGGTGCAAGATTACATTACTCCCCCGTTCACTCACCTTACCTAGTAGCTACCCACTGCTCAAAGAACAACTACTAATTCCCTCCTCAGATGATTCAGACCATTTGTGATGTGCCCTCTCACGCCTTGCACACCCGCACGCCACACTCTTCTCTTGGGCTTTCCCTCCACCAATTCTGTGTATCAGTCAACCTGCTTTTGCTCCTTTCTCTGAATTTCCCTGCCACCCCAGTCCTATTTTACTGCCTTTGGGCTTTTGGGTTTATTTGGTCATCTCGCCCAGTATCACAGGCTCCAATCCTACCCCTCTTTTAAAGTGTAACTTACACAGCTTCTTCCCTAGGACATCTTGTCCTTCACAGACACTTGTATCTTTCTTACGATGATGCTTCGTATGCTCTCCCTTGTATTACAGTTCTTGGTACTCACGATCTAACCCTTTCTTTGGCAGCAGGGTCAGCACCAGCGCATTTATCTCCCATGTTGGAGCCTTGTGTATTATATTTAGTAACTATATTGGGATAAATGGACACTGTAACCAGGAAAAGATGACTCTTAGAGCGGACATTCATCAAACATCAAAGGTGTCTTCTGTGAATCGACAACAAAATTAATTTGCCATCATACAGATAACATTTATTGGACTCCTATGCAAATCACTTTTTGTGTGCATTATCTCACCCCATCCCAATCCTCAAAACAACCCATTTTACAGATGAGGAAGGACTCTGAGGCGTAGAGAGTCAGAGGCTTGCTCCAGGTGTCCTTACTAGTAAGTGGCAGAGTTGGAATTCCCACCCTGTCTTTCTGACCCACGTTCCTAACCGGGGACCAGAGACTGGGTCTGTGTTCCTAAAGAAACTTTTGAAGTTCTTTATTGAAAAGGTATTGGACTAACGTCAGGATACCTGGGTTCTAGATTCAGTACTGGCACCATTCAGCAGCTGCTTCTGTATCACAGAAGAGGGACTTTGGACAAGTCACTTCCTCCCTCTGGGCCTTAGTTTCCCCTTTTCCCCTGATCTGAAAGGTGCCAGATCACCACCAGAGGAGCTCCCAGGTTCTTTCCCAATGGTTACGGCGTCTCTCTGGTAGATTGCACATGCGGTAAGCTACTGCTCTGTGCTCTGAGAACACATGAGTTGTATATTTAAAACAGAGAGAGGTGCCCAGAGCAGTCCTCCCTTTAAGCTGACAGCTCATGAGTCACGCGGAAGACTTTTGTAAGAATACAGATTCTAGACCTCACCTCTGGAAATTCCAGATCTGCAGGTATGGGGTAATGCCACAAATCCCTTTTTTTTTTTTTTCCAAGTCCCCAGGCAATTTTGAAGTTTAGATAGGTTTGGAAACCCCAGTGTCTTGGCCTCTTGCTTCCCAAACTTTATTGAGCCTCAGAATACCTTGGAGTGCTCATTGCTTGGCTCCCGGGCCCTACTCCCAGAGAGGGGGATTCAGTAGACCAGATTTAGGGTGGAGCATGATTATTTGAATTTCTAACAAACTCCTAAGTGTTGCCAATACTACGCCTTCCATTCAAAGACTGTCACTTTCATTGTGTCTGGGGGAAGGTAAAAGGGCCCTGGGTTTTTTTCTTTCTGTTGTTTTTTTTGTTTGTTTGTTTGTTTTTTAACAACACCATTGAAGAGCTTGATTTCTTCCTTTCAAGACTTCCCACTGCAAGGCATGGACCACTTTTTAATGCTCTTGGAGATGTGGTTTGGGTGGCTCAACCTTGAGGCATAGTTTACCATCTTGTGGGTGTGTGGGAAGGGGAGAAGGAGCTACCCATTTCAGGGTGCTTACACACATTCTGTCCTGGCGGTTAGAGGCTAACACAGCAACACAGAAAGCCACTAAGGTGTTCTAATCCCTTACAAAGTGTCAATTTGCTAAGCACTTTCCAAGCATTATCTCATTTAGTCTGCACCATAAGCCTTTACAATAAGTCCTTTTGTCCCCAGTTGACAAATAAGGAAGCCAAAGCTCAGAGCAGTTAAGGACCTTGCCCAAGGTGGGCAGGTAAGTGCCCAGATTGGGATTGTGAACCTAGGGCAGTCGGATTCCAAGCCTTGTACCATTTCACTCCCTATTGAAAGGGAAAGGATGTGCAGAGACTCACCTGTCAGTGTCACTGGTGGGACCACCTGGAGTGCCTGCGGTGGGTCTCTGCTTTCTGGATTTGAATTAATGATAAGGCTTCCATGAATCAGCTTTTCCCTCTGGAGCTCACACTTGTCCCTGCGCTTCCAGGCTATCTTCACACACAGAAACACTCTCTTGGAACAGCCTGTATAAGTGAGTATGACTAGAATTGGGGCACTGACAAGGATTTCTTAGAGACAGATTTGCATAGCAGGTGCCATAACCTAGAGTCAGCTCAAGGAGAAGGTACCGTCCTGGGGAGTGCAAATAAACTGCTTTCCCAAACAGGTGGGCATCGAGTTCAGTGTTCAGCAGCCCTCATGGGGAAGGGCTTGGGGGAAATGCCACCCTCACTCCTTGGCAATGTTCCATTTTTCCCCCTCCCTGTGGTTGAGTTCTGTTAAACCAAACTGTCATCTCTCTTCATCGGCAGCTGGGCACTTTCCGGTCCCATGATGGGGATTATTTTATTGAACCACTACTGTCCATGGACGAGCAAGAGGATGAAGACGAACAGAATAAACCGCACATCGTCTATCGGCACAGCACCCTGCGCAGAGAGCCCTCAACGGGAAGGCGTGCGTGTGACACCCCAGGTATTTCCTTCCTGCTCTGACAGAGCCCCCAGCTCGGTGAGATGGGTCAGTGGCAATACCACAAACACGTACCTCTTCCACAGGCTGCAAAGTGCTACCATTTACATTGTCATTTACTCAGTCTTTGAGAGAGGTAGGTATTTCCTGTGGCACAGATGTGGAAGCTACAGAGAGGTTTAGTAACTTGTCCCAGGTTGCACAGCTACGAACTAACAAAGCCTCCATATGAGCTCATCTCACTCCAGGCTCACGGTGGGCAAAGCTACGTCTTGTTGAATTTGCTAATTGTTAGGATTCGGCTTTAATAGTCTCTTCAGGCTCTCACAACCGTATCTTCAGTCAGCAATGGCTTATGTTCCCTGCGTGTCTTGGTGTTTTCTGTTCCTTTGGGATTTTTTTTTTTTTAACCAGATAGGATTACGAAAAAGTGAAATAGTTTCGAAAACGGAACTCGGCAGAATCTCTTTGTGTTCATTGGGGGTTTTCCTAACCACATCGGTTATCAGTTTTAGTTGTTGTTCTAGGCTTCAGGAAATAGCGGAATAGAAGTGTGGATTGCACTGTCAGGTTCTGTCAAATGCGTCTGTGTCCACCCCTGGCTTTCCTTCCCTGCTGGACACATTCCTTGAGGCTTTGTGCTAACACGTCTGGCCATTGTCAGGGCTGTGTCATTCTAGGCCCCTCGGAAAGCTTATGTTTGTGTATGTTTCTCAGTCTACAGCCTTGAGGCAACTTTCCACTGTCTTTGAAGCCTGGTTACTTTCTCTTTGATGACGGCTTGATCCTAAAAAATTGTCCCTCAGTTTGGTCCTGTTTTAAGATGTTTGCTAGAATCCTCTTTTAATTCTAAAATAAGGATTTCTAAAACTTTGTCCTTTTCCTTATTCTT